CATTATATTTGTCCTGATCTACTTATTACTGCAGTCAGTATCGTCTATTGGGTTTATCCTCATGATCCCCTTTTTTCCTTTTCTTCGTCCTTTGGCTCATTTCTAAACACAGCGTTGTTTTCAAAGGACAGTACTTGAAACGGACTAGTGCGCCCTGCGAGATAACTTGGTTGTGATGTCAATTGTCATTTGCTAGTAATGTTGATAGGGGAAACTTGCAAACAAATTATTGGGAAGCTCTTTCTTTTTCCTAACTTGCTTACTAGTAGACTTTGTCTGCCGTAAAAGTTTTGGTGGCGTGACTTGCTTCTTCGCTGCTGCTGCTGCTGCTGATAGTTGCCGTTGCAGCTACTGTTGCTGCTGTTGCCGTTTGTCCCCCTTCCTAGCTGCTCTTTGTACTATCTCTAATCACTGGTCTAGGAAAGTGTGTGCACTGCACTGTAGATGTACAGACACACACACACACATGCACACACATACAATGTCGCCGAGAAGTGGAGACAATATCGGCAGACAGACAGACAGACGGGGAGACAGGGAGACAGGCAGGCAGCCAACAACAAGTGCAGCCGCTACCCAAGAAGCAGCAGAAACAGAAAACTGCTGCAACTGCAGACGCTTACAGTAAAAGCCTTTCTGTTGTTCGTTCATCAGCACCTTACAGCACAGTTTGGCGCTGTTGTCGTTGCCGCTGTGCTGTAATCGTCTTCAATCTTCTTTCTCACCACCACCACCACCACCTCCTCCTCCTCCTCAAAGCTTCTTCTCACTCAGTGTTCTCTGATGGAGTGCAAGCACTTGGTGGTAGTGGTGGTGATGGTGGTGGTGGTGAGCAGCAGTCCTGGCAGGCCACCCATTCGGTGTGACAGCCGACACCTCGACCACATCAAATGACGTCCTCCTCCTCCTCCTTTTCCTCCTTTTCCTCCTCCTCTTCCTCGTCGTCTGATTGAGGACTTTTTCTTGCTTGCTTGTTTTCTTTTTGTTGCTTTTATTGTTGGGCGCTGGTGCTGCTGTTGCTGATGCCGTTTACCGCACGGCTGCCGTTGTTGTTGCTGCCGGGCCGCCGTGCAGACAAGTAAAGTCAAAGTTGGCAATGAGCAGTAGTTGCAGTGCAGTCAGAGCCACACAGCCATCCTTCCATCCATTCATTCATGCAGACAGACAACTAACCAGCCAGCCAGCCAGCCAAACAGCCAATCAACCAGCCGACAAAGTACCACCATCACCACCACCACCATCATTTTTCATTCGCCGCCATCGTCTTCTTCTTCACCGGCGCCGAAGAAAAAGAAAATTTCGCAACGGGGCACTCTACAGCATTGCGCGTTTACCGCCAGAGTTTCGTTCAAAAACAAAGAAGAGAACTCACTCACTAGCTTTTGTAGTAGGAGAGAGAGAAAGAGAATGAAAAAGAGCACGGTGTTGCACAAAATCTTGTCTTCTCTCTCTTTTTTTCAGTTTGCAACCTTACTCTCTCTCCCTCCCAACCCGGTGTGACGACAAAATGAGAGAGTGTGAGTGTGAGTGTGTGACAAAGTCATTCGCCGGCGACGACTACCCCAACAAGTCGCTTGTCGCCGACGCCGATTAGAAGTGAAATGTGAAGAGGAGAGGAGTGAAGAAAAGTGAAAAAGATCACGGCAAAAAACTGGCATCATCGGCAGACAGCAGCAGTGTCTCTCTCTCCGCAATGGCTCGGTCGCCGGCAGTAGTAGCAACCGTTGCAAAATTCTTAACTTAATATTTCACCGTATTCGCTGTTATCAAATGCGTGTCATCATTTCTGCTGCTGCTGCAAACGGCATCATCTTTTTCACGGCGACTGTCTTTCACTATTCCTCTAAGTACCTAACTGTGATCATTTATGCCAGCAAGCAGGCAAACAGACAACAAAAGAGCACCTTTTTGGACCGTTACACCCTTCTGTTGTCTCTGCCTCTACCCTCTTCTTCTTCATCATCACCAAATTCATCTTTCCCTGTCTGATCATGTCTTTCTTCAAGTAGCATCTTCACCTTCATTTCCACCATCATCATCTCCAAATCATAGCAATCAGCACACACACTCACACAAAATTACAACATCCCCATCATCACCACTGTTTTCCCTGATGTTTGCCTCTTTCTTCGTTTAAATATATTTTCTCTTTCTTCTCCTCTTCTTTTTCTTCTTCTTGTCGACACTAATAAAAAAGTCCTAATCTCCCCTGACAATCGTCGCATCTCGTGAGCTGATGTGTGTGTGCATGTGATTTGTTAAGCTACTGCAACACGCTACTGTAGTGTTGTTGCCGCAGCCGACTACATCGTTAAAGTCGATGGTTAGTTATACACTCTATACTTGCCGTTTGTCGCCGTTTGCTCTTCTTTCTTAACGTTTTCATCAGTATCACCTGCTGCTGCTGTTGTTGATGCTCTTGTTTTTGCCAATGTTGTCTCTCCCCATTACTTCAGTTTTAAGTAAACTCTTTCTCCTCAAACTGCTCCATTCGTCTTTAAATCGAGGCTATCCGTTTTATCCGCCGTCGATGACGATTGCTGTTATTCGCCTACTTAACTACATACGACAATTTTACAGTTTTTCTCTTTCCCCCTTTTCACCTTTTCACTTTCTCTCTCTCTGCGCACCACTTTTTGCCCAGCGTACACTTGTTGTTCACTTATCACTGCAACCGCATTACCATACCATTTAATTATGTAATTTGTGCGTCATCCTTTAGCAGCTGATTAGAGAAAGAGAGAGAGAGAGAGAGAGAGAGAGAGAGAGAGAAAGAGAGAGAGAGAGAAAGAGAGCAAGAGAAGAAGAAAGAGCAAATAAGAACGCATAGGAGCGATTTTTCCGGGTCGACTACTGTGCAGCTGTGTTTTATCTCAAACGCGCCTACTCTCTCTTTCTCGCTGCTGAACAACAAACGCAGTGTCTTGTCTTGTTCAGTGTCTTTCAGTGTTTTTCTGTCTCTGTTCTGTTTTGGCACACGCACACTGCCGTACTGCTGATTAGCAGCATCAGCAGGGATCATATGTCCTCTGGAAGGCAGGGCCACCACCACCACCACCACCAGCAGCAGCAACAGCATCTTTTTAGCGACAGCAACAGCCATCGACAGATATTGTGCTGTCGCCGTTTGGGCACTTCTCTCTCTCTGTTTTACTTTTCTCAATGGGCGGCCGTGTCACTTGCTTATCTCCTCTGCTTCTTCGATGATGATGAGCCCCTGCTGCTGTGTTTGGCCTCTCTGGCAGACTACTCCGACTGTACAGTAGTAGTACGCCTCGGCTGCCAAAGTGGCTGGTGAAGTCTCTTGGGCAATTGATGCGCCTCATCATCATCGTCAATGTGTGTGTGTGTACTGAACTTTGTTGAGTCAATACCGATTTGTCACCCCACACAGACAGTGTCGTTGACCACTTACTGTCGCATGAGATTGCTTTTATTCAAACGTAGCGCAAAAAAAGTTACACATAAAAAAAGTTTGTTAAAATGTGAAGAGATTCAGTGATGTTAATAACTCTTTTCTCCCCCTTTTGTCTCTACCAGAATGCACCCATCTGCGGCTGCAGCAGCAACAGCGCCAACAGCTCATACTCAAAAATTGGTCTCTAACAGCAGCAGCAGCAGGAGCACTGTGGCACCATTCTCAATCGCCCCCTCTTCGCCAACCTTTTCCTCATCGTCTTCCTCCTCTTCCACTTCCTCCTTTGCAATATCTCAATTCCTGAACAGTCCACCACCAGTCAGCAGTGGTGGTGGTGGTGGTGGGGGTGATAACAAGTTTGCAGAGGGCTCAATCGGCAGCTCTGCAGAATCATTGCTGGCACATCTGCCGCCGCCCCCTTTTTCCACCTCCTCCTCCTCCTCCTCCTTTTCCCCTTCCGCCTATCACTCTCCCCTGCTGAGTGCCTCACTCGCCTTTGGCTGCACCGTCTTTGGTGGTGGCGGTGGTGACAGCACCAGCAATCACAGCACCAGCCTTGGCAGCAGTGCCACCAGCTCTGCCCCTCCCTCAATGGTCTCCACTGGCTCATCGGCGGCCGCTCTGGCCACCATGGTCAAGTCATCATCAGTAGCATCGTCATCATCATCATCCGCATCTTCATCCTCTTCCGCTGCACCGCTGACCAACAGCCACAACCACAACAGCAGCAACAGCAGTGGCAGCAGTGGAGGCAGCAGCAATGGCGGCGCTGCCGTTCAGGCAGTGGTCGCCGCGGCGGCCGCCGTTTCCTCTAGTCACCACTCCTCCTCCTCCTCCTCATCCTCATCTGCCGCCACTTCCTCTTCCTCAATGTCACAAATGAGTCACCACCATCACCACCTGCCCTTTCACGAGTCGGCATTAGGTGGTAATCACCCTCACCACCCTCACCAGCATCGCCCATCAGCGCACAGTGCCGCCTCCCTGGCCGCATCTGCCTTTTCGCCCGCCTCAATGCTGGCCGCAGCTGGCGCCCTCAACTCTGCCCTCAACGTCGGCAATGGTCCGGGTGCTGTTGCTGGTGCTGCTAATGGTCCTGGTGGCGGTGGTGGTGGTGGCAGTGGTGGAAAGCCACTGAAAAGCGAGGACCTTTTTGGTCTTTCTCAGTCTTCCACCTCCTCTCCATTTGGATCGCTGTCCTCCCTTGCGGCAGCAAGTGGTAGCCTGAAAGGTAGTCCGCCTGGTTTGCTAGGCGGTACTGGGGGCGGAAGTAGAGGAGGAGTAGAAGGAGGTAGTGGGAATGCAGGCAGCAGCACCAGCAGTCAGATGCACTCGCCCACCTCCCCCGTTGGCAGTCCCTATGGCTCAGGTGCTGGTGGTGGGGGCGGGTCAGGCGGCGACCGATCTGCCTTTGAGTCCATGCTGAACAGCTCCAATGGCAGCTCCAGTGGCGCCCGAAAGAAGCAGTCCACCAGGGTAAGTGTGCAAAGTATAGGCTTTACAAATTGTTATCAACGTTGTCATTATGTTGTCTAATTATCTAACGACTACTACTACCTCTACTTCTATTACCCAGGACCCACTGTCGCATCGAATGATTGAGAAGCGCCGTCGTGACCGTATGAACAACTGCCTGACTGATCTCAGCCGTCTGATACCAAACTCCTTTATCAAAAAGGTTTTTAAGCACTGCAATTGTTGTTTTGTGCTCAAACAGCTAACTGTTGAATTAAATAAAGATTTACTAACTAATACAACCTTTTTCTCTACCTTTGCAGTCCTCCTCACTGCAGAACCGCGGTCGCATTGAGAAGACGGAAATCATCGAGATGGCCATCAAGTACATGAAGCACCTGCAGAACCTCGCCGAACCACTGCTAGTGGACGACGGGCCACTGGGCCCCTCGCCCACGACGACGCCCATTCCCAGCGTAGAGCACGACCAGCTGTTCATGCTGTGCAACTCGCACTCCTCCAGCACGGGCACGGCGCTGCTCAAGGACCGGCACCAGTTCATGCGCTACGGCTACCAGGAGTGCGTCAACGAGGTGGTGCACTTCCTCGAGGAGAACAACCTGGACAGCTACTTTCTCAAGCTCATGGAGCACCTCAATGAACACCGGGAGAACTTGAATATCGGTACGGGCTAAAAGATAAAAGCAAAGGTGTTGTGCTACAAGCAGAACATTTCTAACCAAAACATGCTTTCATTTACCACAGGTGTTGTGAACAAGTACATGTTGGCTGGTGGAAACGCTGGTTCTGCAGCCGCTGCTGCTGCCGCTGCCAACCTGGGAAGCTCAATCATAAACAACTACGATGATATGCAGCAGCAGCTAAACGCAGCTCATGCCGCCGCACTGGCAAATGCTGCGGCAATGGCTGCTGCTGCTGCTGCCGCTGCATCCAGTGCTTCCAATGAGCCACTGCCCGGTGGTGAAGGCAGTGGACATCCCCTGATGGCGAATGGACATACTGGAACATCTCCCGCGCCGCCTCAGACATCCTCCTACTCACTGAACGCCATCAAGTACATGATTGACAGCTCGGCTGGAGGACCGATGAACAGCAGTTTGGAGCAACAGCATTCACTGGCCAGCTCCAACCACCATCAAAGCATGGAAGTTGATGGGGAGCAGCAGCACCAACAGCATCCCCACCACCACCTTCGCCACGGCCCAAATCATCCCCACAACAGTTCGCCACATTCCCCCGCCTCTTTGTTGTCGCTGAACTCCAAAGCCTTGTCCGCATCCGGTCTTCTGGGCGAAGCCAATGGCCAGACCACCATGATGGCCAACTCCAGTGGCGGAATGATGATCTCCTCTTCGAGTTGTGCCGCATCGCCTACTGCTGCTGCTGCTAGTGCTGGAAGCAATGATGTCGCCAAGGGTGGAAACAAAAACGATGGCAGCTCTGCTGCTGTTGCTGCCGCGGCCGGTGAGCCAGGTCACTTTAATTTCAAGAAGGACATTAAAGACCGCTTCCAGAAGGTGCTCGACCGAATGAGCGACGGCAGCACTGCCTCCTCGTCAGCCTCCAGTCGCAACTCGAGCAGTGCATCGTCCTTCAACTCGGACGGCACTGCCGAGGCCTCTCCCCCGGTCAGTGGCGGTGGCAATGGAGGCGTGTCAGCTGGCATCATCCCGCCATCTAATGCCTCTTCCTCACTGGGAGGAACGGGCATCGGCGTGCCCACAGTGGTAGACACCACTGCCGCTGTCAACCAGATCGTCTGTCAGTTGTCCTCATCGGGTTCACTTTCCTCCAACTCCTCTTCCTCGACGTTGTCCGCCTCGGAGACCAAATCGGTGGCCAATGATCTGCAGATGATCTCACTGATGCACTCCATTGGTGCTGCTGGTGCTGGTGATGGTGTTGGTGCTAATGCTGGTGCTAATGTTGGTGCTAATGCTGGCGTTAATGTTGACCCAGCAAGCCACGGCGAGTCAAAGCCCTCAAAGGAGAGAATTGACATTGAGGCGATGTACCAGAAACTGTCCAGCAATCTACTGAACACATTGTCCTCGCTAATCACCGCCTGCACCAGTGAATACTCTTCACTAGAGGGCAGCAGTGTCAGTGGTGGCAGTAATGGCAGTGGTGCAAGTGGTAATTTGGGCCCGAACAGCAGCAGCAGCAGTGGCACTGAATCAGTGTACGTGCCCATCTACGCGATGCACCCCTCCGGGCACTACTACGTGCCAATGCACATCGAAGCGGCCATTCTCGGCATGAAGGAGGAGTACACCAAGTCAAACAAATTTCCCAGTAAACCGCCCAACTACAGTTCAAACAACATCAGCAGCACTAATACTGCCAGTAAACTGGCCAACGGAGACGGAGGAAGCATGGGCGGGGCTGCTGATTATGAACACGGAGGGGAGCACGGCGAGTTGACGCTGACCACCTCGGCATCTGAGCAGCATCAGCAGCAGCAGCAGCAGCTGGAGGGCCGAAGTGCAAAGAAGATGCGCTACGACCGTGAGCCGACGGTGCTGCTTAGTCAGAGCATCAAGTTCGCCTTCAACAGTCGGCCGCCGGCGGAGGTATTTGGCAGGTCAGCGGAGCAGGCGGCGGCGGCGGCCCACAGCAGCAGCAGCAGTCAGCAGGTGATGCTCTACCCGATGACCATCACCGTGAACCTGTCGCACCACCAGAATGTGTCACTCCATACGGTGTTCAGCTTTCTGAGGGAGATGCTGTGCAGGCAGGCGGCAGAGTCCGGCAACTGTTCTGCACTGAATGGCTGCTGTTCGATAGTGCCCAGCAGTGGTGGTAGAGCAAGTGGTGGAAGAACCACCACCACCATTGGCCATGCTATTGAGGAGTTGAAGAGACAGAGCATTGTTGCCGGCGGAAAAAGTGGTCGCTTCTCCACTGATGATCTCTGTGGAGTTGACCTGTCGGCTCGCAGTCTGGTGGCGGCCGGTGGTAAGCCAGCCTTCCCAAGCAGCGCCTTCTCCTCGCCTTCTTCACTGCTGGACAGCAAGCCGGTGCACTCTCAGCACCATCTGCACTCATCCTTTGCTGAAGGTGGTGGATCGACTGAAGGAAGCACCGGAAGTACCATGCTGGCAAAGCATCTTCTCGCCGGAAAGCGTCCATCCTCGCCACCACCACCACCAGCAGCAACTTCTTCAGTGGGGTCCCTGACGCCCAGTGAGATTGCCCAGATGGTTGCCGCCAATCAGGTGCAGCTGACCGCCCTCACCAACTCAGTGGACCTGTCCTCGACGGCGCCGCCCAGCGCCAGTGCCACTGCTGCGCAGATGATGATGATGCTCGCCGCGGCGGCTCACAATTTGGAGAAGAGTGGAGGGACTGATCAGCAACAAGAACATGCTCTAAACGCTCTCTCCGCCAGTCATCTAACTGCTCAACATCACCACTACCCACTGGACTCACTTCAAGGTGGGCCGTTTGGGTCACTAGAGTCAGTCAGTGGTGCTAAAAAAGGTTCACTCTTTGCTGGTGAAGACCACCACCCTCATCATCCCCAGCACATGTCAGCCTTTTCCGCCATTGATGACCCCTATGCTCTAAAAGATCGAAAAGCAATTTCCGCTTCAGGGAACGATGTGAATTCGCACGTCAAAAGCAATGGCATCGTGAAGCCTATTGCCACCACTCCTCTGGGTCACCACCATCGCCCCCACCACCAGCAACACCCCCACAGTGTGAACAGCATTGCGCCATCGCACTTGATGCCCCACCACCATCCGTCGCTGCTGCAAGAACCAGTTTCCGAGGTGAAACCCGAAATGGAGCACCTAATGAACAGTTCACTGTACCACAAACTGACGGCTCCAGCGGTGCCTCCCTCTTCCTCCGCCTCCTCCTCTTCTGGCAAACTTTCTCATCAGCAGCAGGAGCCATCAGGAGCTCACTCTCGGAACAGTCACACGCCCACGCTGATCATCCCCAATGTGCCCACGTCAACGTCGAGTGCCGCCAGTTCGGTGCCGCTGACGCTGCCGCCGGGCACTTCGCTGCACTCACTTGCCCACTCCAGTGTCTACAATGGCGGTGTCTACGGTGGCCACCACTTGTTCGGTGGCACGCCCACATCTGCCGTCTCCGTCTCCGCCTCCACCTCCTCTTCCTCCTCCTCCTCCATCTCTGCTGATCAGCATCACCATCATCCTCGTGAACATCACCACAGTTCACTGTTCTCTCCGCCGATGAGCGTCCTCAATGGAGGAGGTGGTGGTCTTCGCAGTCCGCCACCGCCGCCTTCACCCCCAGGCAGTGCTCTACAGCAGCAACAACAACAGTTGGGTCTTCGAGGTGGAGTACCCGTGTCCACGAGCGGATCATCGGCTGCTGCTGCTGCAGTGGCCGCCCCCTCACTGGCCAGTTACCTGCAGCCGCACGCTCTGGGGCAGCTGAACCTCTCCAACTACTACTCCAGCCTGTGGGCATCGCAGTTGGCTTCCGGTGCTGGCAGCTCAAGTGGAAATGGCGCCACTCCTTATAGCAATGGCAATGCTCTTGCTGGAGGTAGTGCGTCATCAATAGCTGATTTTGCTGCTGCCTCCTCCTCTTCCTCTGCCACTGCAAACATTCACAAAGGATCTCCGATGCAGTCTGGTTCGGCTGTGGGCGGTGGTGGCGGTGGAAACAACAGTGGCAATGGTTTGCACCCCAAGACGACGAACACCATTGCCAATGCTGTCGCAGCGGTGGCAGCTGCCAATGCTGCTGCTGCCGCCTCTTCTGCCAATCCCTACGGCATGCTGTCTCTCTTCAACTCTGGCCCTGGTGGCTCTGCTGACCAGTACTCCCTCTTCGGAGGGCCTCCTCGTGGCAGTGTTCTACGGCCCATTGGAAGTCCATCAGGTGGAGGAATGCAACACTCTTCTCACCAACTACCACCACCACCGATCATTCAGTCGATCTCACTAGATCAGTACGGCCTGAACAGCTCACTGGCTGCGGCGGCGGCGGCTGCTGCTGCTGCTGCCTCTGCAAACAGCAACAACAGTGGCGGCAAATCAGGCACAGCAAACAACAAGGGCAACAGTCGAAGTCAGCCAGCATTGTCGGAGCCTTCACGACCCGGCTCGGCACTGACGCCGATGAACTTGAGCAAGGAGACGGCTGCGGCCGCAGCAGCCTCTGCTAAGCTACTCTAAACTTTGAGCACTGAGCAAATGCCTACACTTGCACACACACACACACACATGCACACACAAACATACTGACTGTGAAAGTATCAACGTACCTGTGGTAGACTAACTGGTCATCACAATGCAAAGCGAAATGCAATTTATCAGCAAATAACCCACCTAGTCTCCTTTTCTCTTTTTCTCTCTCTTGTTCCCTTATTCATTTCTCAACGCCGCGCATCTCATTCATCACAGTAGTAAACTCGATGTAAAGAAAAAATCTCTCTCTCTCTTTCTCTTTTTTTTGCCTTTTCATGACTGTTCCCAACTTTGCACTTCAATCACTTTACTCTTCTGCATACTCATTCTGAAACACTTTAACTGAGCGCCCACCACCACCACACACACAAGTTCTTTCTTTTGCCGCCAAGAATAACGCCTCCTCTTTCCCTGATCTAATTGGACCGAAACGTTTGAAAAATGCCAGATTACGCAGATCTCTCTTTTCTCTTTCTTTCTTTCTCCTTTTCTCTTTTTTCATTGCAGAAAAGCCCACTGACTACTGCAAGCAAACTCAACTTGGCTTTCAACCCTCTATCTCTTCAACTGTTCTCCCTTTATCTCATTCTTCTCACAATGCACGCACGCAAGCAAGCACCCACAAAAACACACACACACAAAAACTCATGCAATTTGTGACCACTCCACAGGCCATATTCTTTCATGCTCTATTCACCATTTTCCTTCATCGTTTTCCTTTCTTCACAACTCGACAGTTTTGTGATATTTTTCTTTATTTCTTTATTTTTCATTTTTTCTCATCCCATTGCTCTTTTATTATTATTATTATTAATCACCTAAAGATCCTACTTTTTCTCCCTTTTGCCCGTACACTTTCTTCATCTTCCTTCTTCTTCTTCTCTTTTTTCTCTTTTTGGCTACTACAATATTTCCCACTGGCCACAACCTTTGTTTCACCTTACACTCCTGAGAGCACGCCACATCCAGTCTGCTGAACATCACCTGCTCTACACACACAGACACAACACTACATCTGAAGTGAACAGAACACACAAAAAATGGCAGATAGGCAAAGACATAAACGATCTCACAATGTTTGCGAAAGGTTTCCCTGCTTTCCAGCCCCGACTGACGAGCCAACTCGGCGGTGGTTGATAACGGTGACAAACAACCAATCAGATTGAAGCTCCCCAATGTGATGATACACAAACACCCACATACCCACACACCCACACACCCACACACCCACACACACCAGTGACCACTGTTGTTCTCTTTCTCTCACCACTATCTCATTACTTCATGCTCTCATTCTTTTTATCGACCACCACCACCACCACCACCACACCCTCCGTGATAAAACACTCACTCCCCACACACCTTCTTCTTTCTTACTTTCACGCCCAAAATAGTTTGACCAATAGTGTGATTCCACCGCTATCAACAGCCCGCTAAATAGTGACAGAGATGTTGTTATTATTACATTTATCGCAACCTGTAGTCTATGTAACTGTTTTACCACTCTGCTCTATTTCACTTATTATATTAGTAAAAAACATTTTTTGCAATTGTTTTTCTTTAAGTTTAAAAACGCAAACAAACAGGAGAACAAGTTAAAACTGTAACATTGATTGTGATTTATTGATTTAAACAATTAAAAGAATTGAATGTTAAAAGCCCCTGCCCCTGTTGTACAAAACAGATTGATTGAACTGATACTGATTGATTGGCGCGCCTAATTAACCAACTCCTGATGGCTTTTTCACTGTTTTATTAATGTTGCTGCTTTGTTAGCAAAAAAATGTTGTCAATCAGAAAGTTTTGTCACAAATGATGGTTTTGTTTTTATAATTTGATGCAATGATAATGAGCAGCAGAACAACAAAAAGTTAATATTATAAACTTGAAAAACTAAACAAGAAATTAATGCACTGGACAAAAGATTATGATGACCAGCTTAATAGCACTGTTTGACACGGAAAATCGACTACGCCAGCTAAAAATATCTGTTTAAAATTTGTTTTTGCTGCACAAAACTTTGTTCTTATACACATGGGTCGCAGACCACCGTTGATTACTGAGCTATGTATGTTTGACCGACAACTTCTGTTTCGTATCTGTTTTAAACATTTGCAATGTTGCTTGATTATATCACATTTGAAAACTGTTCTCAAAACAAATTACAACAACACAATTATATTCTCACTTATTGTTCACTTAACTCGCTTTAAAAAATTGGATTTAAAAACATTAAACTACAACAATCAAGAAATTGATTGTTTCTAGCACACTAGCATAATTAAATTTATCTTTTTTGATTAAACTAACTTTGAAATAGTTTTTTGTTTACTTTAATAAGTGTGCAGTTTATTGAATGTGCAAGTTAAACATATTAAATATAATTTTTTTATTTTTTAATTCACATTTTTAACATCTTTGTCAAAACACTTTTCAAAACCATTTTAAAACTTAAAAACCATTTTTGTTATATTTTTAAACTTGATTTCTTGCCTCTGTTTTTTAATTTTGTTATAATTCAAAAAACATAAACAACTCAAATAAAAAATGCAGTTTAAAACCAAATGTTTAATTTTTGAGTACAACTAACATAATGTCAACTTCTTATTGTTATTATTCTTAACTTATAAAAAATATAATTTTAACGGGTTTTTAACTTTTCTTAGTTAAACAAAACATTATAATTTGGTTTTTTTCTTAGAGCATAAAATTGTTTTTTTAATTAGGTGCTGCCGTCTTTTGAATAATATTCCAAACTTTTTAAACCTTAAACAAAATGTTATTTTTAAAAAGAGAAGAAGTTGGTAACGTGGCGCGCGGAAAGATTTACAAGCATGCCGTAGTTTAGACTGACTTGTAATGGTAGAGGGAGCAGCTTATAAAGTTTTTACAGAGGTTTCAAACTTTGCGTGAGCAAAGCCACGTCACCAGCGGCCTGGTGGCCGCTACTAAAATTAAAAAGTTGTTACAAATTGTGACAATTTTGTTTACATGATGTTAAAATTAGTTTTATACAATAGTTTTTAAATTTTTGTTTTGTTTACAATTTAAAAACAACTTATTAAGTTTTATAAACAAAATACATTGTAAATCTTTAACTCAAAACTATTATTAAATTTCCAAAACATAAATTTTTTGTTCAATGGTTTATCAAACAAACCAGAAAAAATTATTTTTGTTGTTTATTAATTATATTACTTCCGAATCATAATTTTCAAACATGGAGTAATTAATTAATCACGAAACTAAACAATTAACAAAATATTCTCTGTATATTGATTTACAATTAAATCAAACTAAATAAACAAAAACAATCTATTTTTTAATAATGAAATATGTCCTTGGTGCAAACATATAAATATTACTTCAAACAATAGTTCTAGTTGGTTAATCAAAATTGGTTAACCATACAAATGTCTGTAACCATTTTCTGAGTTTCCAAAAATTGTCTTGCAAATAAAAAAAGAAAAACTTAACATATTAACCTAATTGTGCACTAATCAACATCTAAAAAGACTAGCAACAAAAGATGGCTATCAATCCAACGAATCTGCCGAGGGACACGCCGCCCGGGGTGATCAACCCCTACCAGAACCTGGAGGTGATCACCCACAAGAAATTCATCTCCCACCTGGGCATCGCCTTCGTCGACCTGAAAACGGTGCACCGGCAGTGGATGCGTGGCAGCAAGACGCTGCTGCGCAAGGTGTGCGGCCAGTTCAACTACGGCACGCTGAACGCCATTCTCGGGCCGTGGCAGTCGGGCAAGACGACGCTGCTGAAATCGCTGGCAGGGCGGAACAACGAGGAGATCGACCACGAAACGCAGTTCTTCATCAACGGCGACGTGCCGCCAAGGGCGGTCTACCTCGACAAGGACACCAACACCAACATACTGCTCAGTCTGACGGTGGACGAGTGCCTCGACTTTGCCTTTCGCTTTCGCAACCCCAGCTGGCGCGGGGGCAACCGGGCGGAGCGTCGCGCCACCGTCAAGGAGTTGCTGCGCAACTTTGAGCTGAAGGACATCCAGGACATTGAGCTGCGCTTCTGCACCAATGAGGAGCAGATTCGCGCCCAGGTGGCCATGGCGCTCTGCACCGTCGACAAGCCCAACATGATCTTCATTGATGAGCCGCTGCACGACCTGGACGCGGTGGGAATTGAAAATGTAAGTTGGCTTTTCAGCTACTTCTTAGTTGGTTTAGTGAAAATCAGAAAAGTTGTATGCACTACTTTGCCAAACTCTTGCTTTCCCCGTTGTAGCTTGTTGTACTGCTTAAGACGCTGTGTCGCGTCTACTCCATCGCCGTCATCTTCTCCGTCGGCCAGGTACTGGACTCCGACATACTGGCGGTTTTTGATAAGCTGTACGTGCTCTCGCGCGGCGGCCTGTGCGTGTACGAGGGCAGCGTCGACCACATGTCGCTGTACCTGCGCGAGGCAGAGGTGGCCATCAGCTCGAAGATCCAGACGCCCATGGAGCGCCTGATGAAGGTGGCCAGCAAGCCGAGTCAGGTGACACTGCGCCTGGCCAACCAGACGCTGACCACCCGAACGGACATCCTCCACATGGCGCAGAAGTTCGGCGTGCCGGCGCCGAACGGCATCCAAACGGAGATGGCCAGCATCTCACTGCGAACGATGCTCGACCTCTTCGGGCGCAGCTACACCCACAAGCACCGCATCTACTGGCGCTCCATCGTCCTCTACTACCTGATCATCGTCCTCTCCACTGTTCTCCTCACCACCGCCTTCACCGACGGCATCGGCTTGCCCAGCGCCTGCTACAATCGATCCGGAAACGTCACCCTGGGCCGCTTTGTCATCATCGGCGACCGTGAGGCCATTGACGAGGGCGTCCTCAAGCACGTCGGCGAGAAGGAGATTGACATCATCGAGGGGCAGAACTTGATTGATGAAAATGTGAAGTTCATCTTTGTGATCACCGCCGGGCTGGCGCTCTTTCAGGTGGTCACCTCCGTCAAGGGCCTTAATGAGGAGGTCAAGGTGGCAATTAATGAGCACCGTAATGGTAAGCAGTGGTGACAAGCAATTAAAAGGTAGTTTTTGCAATGGTAATTAATTATCATAATAATGATTGCAGTGCAACTGTAGTCATTAGTAATGGGAAATAAAAGTGAAAACGGAAAAACAAACACAAACTTGGCATTGGGGGTCTAATTAATGGTTGTCCCATTTTATTTTTGGTTGCTCTCTTTTCGCACTAACTGTCGCATTTTTTTGATAAACGGTGCAATAAGGAAAAAAGCACAAAATAAATATATAAAAATGGCTCAATCATTATTAGACACCCTTTTGTCAATATGCAACAAACAAAAAGTTTAAAGTAGTGCAGAAAAGTTTGCTTCTAGTATTAATTAGTTACAAACTGAACTTACACTGTAGATGAAACAGCGCCACTATCAGTGTTTTGCATCATGCAGTTGCTAATTTGCAGTTCTAGACAAACTTCCTAAAACAGATTATGTTTACAGTAAAAGTTTTATTTGAAAATTAGAATTAAAATTTCTGTAACGAATGTTTGAAACTTTGTAGGCTGGTTGAACATTTCGGCATATTTCTGGGTAAAAAACATGATTGACTCTGTGGTGCCAATAGCAAATACACTCACCTGCGCAGTGCTGTGCTATTTTCTCACCATGCAAGTCTTTGATCACTGGCGTTTTCTTACCTTCCTTTACGCCCAACTGGCCAATGTCATTTTGGCACAATCATTGGGCTTTGCAATTGGCGTCATTTCCGTGTTTAACAACAAATACACTACACTGATGATACTGATGAGTTACCTCTTGCTCATCATCTTTAGTGGGTATCTCATTCCAATGGACGGCATTCAACCGTGGCTGCAAGGTACAAATGACTGTTTTTGTTGTGTAAACAAAACAAAGTTTTTAACGAAACAATATTTCTAGGTGTCTCGCATGTGTCTTTTATGAAGTTGACTTATGAACTTTCCTTACTTTCACTGTATGGATTAAATCGTTGCGAATCGTTAATGTACACAAACAACTACGTTTTGGACGAGTTTGGAATCAACTATACAGAAACGTTTTGGCGCAACTCAGTTTTTGTCCTAGTTCATTTCCTTGTGTATCGTTTTGTATTTTGGATTATTTTAGTTAGCAAAGTCAACAAACAAAGCACCATCACTCGACCTGAATTTATTGCTGACAATGATCTTGTAGATATTGATCAAGATTTAAAAAACAAATAAAATTTATAGCATAAAAACTTATTAATAATAGAGGTTTGTTTTAAATTTTGTAGCAAACGTAAATTTTAAGTATTCGTTGTTACTTTGTATGAGAACTATTTCAATAAAATCAATCGTTATTTATTGTCATTTTTACAAAAAAACATGTTTTTTTGGTTTTTGTAACAAAAGTGTTTAAATTATTTAATTTTAAAATAATTTTTTCTTTTAAAAACTTTTTTTAAATTTTGATTTTTAATAGGTTTGTTTGCGTTTAAAATTTGTGTAATTACGTAAACTGATTGTTTTTTAAACTAATAAATTGATTAGCAAAGTTAAATAAACAAAATGTAAAATAAAAACCAAATTTTATTTAAATATTTAATAGGCAAAACGCTCTAACTTTAAACTTTTAATTAAACTAAAAATATTTTTTTAAATTAAATATTAAAATTAATAGCAAAGTAAAATTATATAATGTTAAATAATACATTTTTATTTTAAAACACAATTTTGTTTGCACAAATGTTGTTTTATCAATTTTTATTATATTCAAATAAATAAATTTTTATTTAAATAAGTCCAGGGAATTGAGAGTTTAATGCATTGCACTTTAAGTGGCTTTTTGTTGACGGATAAGAATATGAAGTGAGAAACATCAAAATTCAACATATTGCTTGCTGATAATGCAGCCACTTTGCTTGATTCTTTTTAACAAAAAATTTCTTAGAAGAAATATCATAGTTTTTTTCAAACACTATATTTTAACTTGTGTACCTGACTTGTTGTTCATTGCTTTTCACTTCTACTCAAAGAATTTAAAATATTTTATTTTTAAATTTGCACCATATTGAATTTAGACCAAAATTGAAAAAGTTTATTTAAAACAACAAGCATTTTAATTTTAAAAGTTTTGTATAATTGTATAACAAATTCGTTTTTTGTGTTTAAATTTTAACGTTAATTTAAATGTATATATATTTTTTTAATTTTTTTGTTTAACTTTGTATTTATTGTTTTAAAATACAAAATGAAAGCTACCATTATTTTACTTGCTGTTTTTATGTGTGCTTTTTTATACTTCATTAACATATCTACTTTACCAATAAGCAGTTTTAATAAAATTGATCTTTATGATGTTATTTGCTTTATAAGTATTTTTTGCTATGCTATTGCTACACATTTTATTCATATTAACATTGTTTAGAACTTAAAAAATTATTTTAAAATATATATTTTACGACATAAATCATATTTTCTAATAATAAAAATTTATATTTAATGTTTTGTTTATGGTTTTTATTTTTATAAACATATTTTTAATTAAAAAAATTAAAAGTTTTGTTTTGTTTTATTTAATAAATTTGTTTTTGAACAATATAATTAACGTTCAAACAAACATTGCACAACATTACTACGTGATAAAATATTTTGATAACAAAATTAACAAGTTAATGTTTTAAACTTTATTAAAATTTTTATTAACAGCATATGAAAAGCAAAATAAACCAGTTTATCAAGCGTCCTTTTCTTTGTGGCACATTTGCATTTCTGAAAATTATTTAAACAACACTTCAGAACATAACAATTTATTTTTTGGAACATGCTGTTCAGTATTTTAATACAAAAACAACATAACTTGCAATCACATTTGGAGCTATTTTAACAAAAATGCCTACTTGGCAGTCAGCTCGTTGTATATGATTGGTTTTTTTACAAACGCATTTTCTACAATGATTTTGAACTTTTATGATTACAATGACATAAGTTTGTCTGGCACTCTGTTTCTTGATTATTTGCACTTTGTATTGATGTTTATTTCAACACTCTCACTCACAAACTCAGTTTTAGTGTTTAGTTTCATCAAGTATAACAACATTTAAAACACTAGCATTGCAACAGTTGTTCATGCTAATGGCTATGATTTAGCTTTTGTACCTCTTTGTTTAAGTTGGATTTCTACGGCGTATTTTCTGGTTTATAATTATGCAAAAATTTAAAATTTAAGAGTGTCAACAGCGTCTTCAGTTTTTACTAGTACAACTAAACAAGGTTTTGTCATTTACAACGCAAACTTTGTGTTGCGAGGTAAAATTAATAAACAAAAGTATTTAAAGATCAATTTTATATCGTTTTTATCATTTTTTAGATCCACCTCCAACTTATGAAGAATCAACTAGTCTCAATTAAAGCAGACGTACCAATAATAATTGTTTACCAAAAACAAATTTTATTTGTTTAAAATATTATCATATGCGTCATTTAACAAATTTTTATTTTAAAAGTGTTGTTCATTGAGTTTTTTTGTTTTCATTTAAACACAAACAATAAATTGCTCATTTGAAGCATTTTTATTTAAATTAGTTTTTTGTGTTTTTGATGTGTATGATATTTGTAACAACAATAACAATAAAATAATTTTGAAATAAAACTTGTTAAATTTATTAAAATAATAATTTTAAAATGTTGGTTGATTATAAAGATGAGTGTTTGGTCAAAATCAGTTTTAAATTTTTCTAAAAAAATCATCACAGATATTGTAAATGCACAAAACAATTTAGTTGCTAATTTTAAACTAGTTTATCAAGCAATTCAATCGTTTTATCGTACACTAAAACACCGGCATCTTTTCCAAACAGAAAATCATTGTGGTTAAACTGTTCTGCGTCTACTTTAATGTGTTGAAGATTTTTTAACTTAGGTTTCAGCAAATCGACTAAGTGCTCTACATTTTCCGGCGTTACTAGATAGTCGGAATTGCCATTCATGATAATAATGTGCATGTCATCGGGAATTCGATCAAAGTCATACTCAGGCGGCGTCTCAGCGCCATCGTAGTGCAGGCGGTTCAGCGATGCGCTGCCATAGTCAAACTTGACGAACTTGCCCGTCTGATAGAGCTGGCCAAAGTGCACCAGCTGCCACATTGAGCTGGGCATCGGCCAGAAGTGAAAGTACACCGGCAGGCGGTCAGGGTTCATCTGGTCAGTCGGTCCGTTGATCTTCTCCAGCTCCTTCGTCACCAGGACCTTGGTGCGTTTCGTCCGACAGGCGGTGCCGCCGATCCAGTTGGCAATGTGGTGCGTGGGCGCGAACTGCCCGCCCAGTCGGTGGAAGAGGGGCAGCGCTCGCGACATGACCGTCATGGAGGAGCGCATATTCTGCAGGAACACCGCCGGCGCCCAGCTGATGAAGGGCCGGATGAGGGCGCCATACTCGGGCCGGTCGCACAGCAGCGCAAACATCACCGCACAGCCCTGACTGTGGCCCACGTAGCCCATCTGCTGGCAGCCCGTCTCCTCCTTGATGTAGTCAATGACGGCAGGCATGTCGAACTGGGCCATCTGCTGGAAGGAGAACTTCCAGAACTTGGGATTCCACGTGCTGTACGTGGTGTGCTTCATTGAGACGCCGTTGCCGCGCAGATTGGGCACCCACACGTCGTACCGACCGGTGAGGAGAAGGGAGAAGCCAAAGTTGTCGCCGTACTTTGACTCGCCCGAGGTAAGCTCTTTGGAGGTGATGAAGAAGTTGGAGGAGGAGGAGACCAGTCCGTGCTGCACGATGATCGGCTTTCGCGTCTGGCAGTAGGTGGCCGAGTCGGTGAAGTCATCAGGGACGACCCGGTGCACGGTGAGAATGTAGCCATCCTCGGTCTGGACGGTGTGCTCCTGAAGGTGGAAACCACGTGATTCAACCAGCTGGGGAAAGTCAAGCAGTTCGTCAGAGTTAAACTGCGGCGAAATTCGCAACTTGAAGGTGGACCAGTTGGCGGCCAGACTGCTGTGGGATCGGTTCAGGTAGCTGCGCGTGCTGGTTTTCACCGCAGACCAATGACTTGGTTTTGTCATCTTTGTTTTTTTGTTGTCGTTCTCACCTGTCTATCTGTGGGTGAGAAAGAGTGTGTTCAGTCTGTCAAAAGGCGGCAGTGCTTAGATGATTGGCTAATTATCAAGTTATTAATCAGTGTTCATTAACTCTGGGCAAAAAATGCACCGTTTTAGCAGTGATTGAAACAGGTACTGGTCGTGAAATTGAACAGGTAACAGGGAATAGATATTGGAAACAGAGGTAGGGATGAGTTCTGGTAGCAGTGACAACAACGTCAGTGTCAACGGTTGTACACATTTAATGACTGTGAGTGAGTGAGTGCGAGAGTGTGTGTTTTGTGGTGTTCAACGGTTTTGCCTTGTTTGTAGGCGGCAAAGTACGCCTGAGTTCAGCAGTAACCAGTGGAGAGAAACCAGGATATTGCCGTGTTACATTGATTGCCCACTCACTCACACTCTCCTTCTCTCTTTCTTTGTCAGTTTGCTTGTTTGCTGGCTGCTACTGCTGCTGCTGCTGTTTCTGATGACTGTTGCAGTTGCCATTGTCTGCAGTCACGTTGCCGTACACTGTCAGTGGGAGTTGTTGTTGATAATCTCTGATGCCCGGCAGTTGTACACTCTCACTCGCACACACACACACACACACACACACACTTGTGCTATGTTTGCAGTTTTTGACGGGATACACATGTACGGGAGAGGAGAAGCGAATGAAGAACTAAGGGAAAAGAAAAAGAGTACATGCAATAGCAATTGATAATGGTACTATGTGTCACAACAGTGTATGTGTGTTTGTTGTATCATTTACTGTGAGCTCATCAGTGCCGTGATGTTTTCCTAGCACCGGCAATTAGTTTTGGCTTTGTTTTTATTAAAACGACAATTTATTGAGATCAACATTTGTTATTACAAATGAAAATTTATTTAAAATGGTTTACTAAAAAATTACGCAGTGTTTTTTAGGACTATATACTAGATTTGTACTAAATAGTTAACAACTTTTAAAAATATTCATAAATTAATAGACTAGCAGGGCCAGCATAAACTCAGCTTATGCAATGTACTCTTAAAATACTGTATTTTTTTAATTTGAATTTTTAATTAATTGTATATAGTTTGTTACTTTTTATCTCTGAATAGCAATTTTTATTTTGGCTAAAACTAAAGTTATGTTTTTTATTTAAACTTGCAGGTATCAAATAAACTAAAAAATATAAAATGAGAATAGAAAAACTAAATTAAAAACTGTTTGTAAAACCATAACAAAGGCGAAGTTTTTAGCTGTAAATATAAATCCTTTGGTCTGAAAAAAATTTTGACTGAAGCGAGTTGGGGAACCAAACAAATCTACCCCTAAACCTAAATTTAAACCTAAATCTAAATCTAAATCTAAATTTTAACATAAGCCTAAACCAAAACCTAGACCTAGACCTAGACCTAGACCTAAGCCTAAAATTAGACCGAAACTTAGACCCAGACCTAGACCTAAGCCTAAAATTAGACCTAGACCTAAACCTAGACCTAAACCTAAAACTTCTAACAAAACCACTTGACTGGCGGCTCACCCTGACGTGATTTGGATAGTGTTCAAGTTAGACACTGTCAACTCCCGCAGACTCAGTCTTGTGCACTGCTCTCTTTACTCCCCCACTGCTTTCCCCCTGTTAGCCAATCACCAATCAGCATTCCCCTTTTGCCCGCAGGAGAAAAATGCTACCGTTAACAAAAGCATTGGCAGCAGTTATCAGCATAGTTCCCACACCGCTCCCCTTTTCATTGTACTCCTCTTACTCCCCTTCTGCTTTGCTTTGCCAGCAAAGTGGGGATCATGCGCAGTAGTGACTGTGACACACGGACGCACCGACGCACCGAGTTTTTTAATAGCAGTAGGGGTAGGGGATAGGGGATAGGGGATAGGGGATAGGGGATAGGGGATAGGGGATAGGGGATAGGGGATAGGGGATAGGGGATAGGGGATAGGGGATAGGGGATAGGGGATAGGGGATAGGGGATAGGGGATAGGGGATAGGGGATAGGGGATAGGGGATAGGGGATAGGGGATAGGGGATTTTGTTTTACAAAGTTTATTAGCATTCAATTATTTTTTGCACTTAAAAAGATTTTTGACAAATTAAACTTAACAATGTTACAAAAAAAATGTTTAAAATTTTAAACATTATGTCACTAACAAAGTAGTTTGGTTTAATGTTAAGTTGTTGTGTTAATAATCGATTTACTAATAAAACTGAATATAGTTTAAATTAAAAAATTAAAAAATCATATTTTTTATAAGGGCTGGGTGCTTAGATACGAGTTGGCTGTTGTTAAATGCACAAAACACAAACATTAAAAGAAATGGGCCAAGAAAACCAAAAAAAGTTGCTAAAAAACTGAATAAATTTTATAACTTTTAAGAAAACATTGTTACAAATACACTACAACAATTAACTAATCTTTAAACAAAAACAAAAAATTTTAACTAGAAAAACACTTGCGTTTCAAAAAAATTTTACGTTTTACTTGTTTTATTTAACACTGATTTGCAAAACATTTTTAGTATCAGTATTGAAACACCTTTAAACACATCATTACCATTGTGTTCATCTTTTAACAATTAAAATTGTCAAGTAAGTAAATTTCTGTAACAAAAACAGGACAACATTGTTGTACTAAAATAAAATCATTTTTATTTAACTTAGTCTGTTTTCAGTTATTATAATTTACAAACGTTTTTTGTTTTTTAATTAGTTAAGAAGCAAAATGTTTTATTTTTTTTGAGACAAAACTTTTGTTTTTTATTTTATGCAATTTTCTATAAAGGAAGATTCAAAAAGTTAAAATATTAGCAGGTTTTCAAAACTACATTTTTTTGGTTAAACAACAAGTATAAATTTAATGAATAAAAAAAGAGTTTGATTTTGGTGCAAACCTGTCACATGTCCTGTGATAAATTTCTATTACATTCTAAAATTAAAAAAACCATGTGTTATATAAACTTAATTAAATTTTTTTAAAAAGTGTTTGTAGGTAAAAAAATTAGGCAACTGAAGTTTTTAATTTTTAATTTTACTTCACGTAAAAAAAATTAAAAATTTGTTTTTGTTTATAACCGATAGATGGCAGAAAGTTATTCAGTTAAAATACTGTTTTGTTATTGAATTGCTTTTTATTTTTGTGTTCAACAATGTAAAGTTAAAAGATTATTATAACAAAATCACTGAACAGATAAAAATAACAATTCAGACATGCATATCATCTTTATCAATATTATTTTTTATAAAAAATAAATCTAGTTTAAATTAACTTATTAAACAACTTAATTTTTAAATATTTAATTGTTTTTTTAAAAAAAACTAGAAGTAAATTATTGATTTAAAGTGAGTTCAACAATTAAAATTATTTTTTACAAATTGCATTTTTAAAAAAATTCAGAAAAGATAAGCATTGATCTTTTTCAGAAAGAAAGCCAGTCTAGAAACTACCAAAGATTTCGATTTGTCAATACTTTAAAAAGTTGACATGCTTTGTTATGAAAAATAATAAATTGTTTTGTTTCACCATGTAGTGGAGCACACACACACACACTAGGAATACTTACATGTACGTTTTTTTGTGTATGCAGAGCTGGCACAGTATGCCGTTTAGCAAGTAAACCCTAGTGACTGCTTCTACTTGAAGCATTCTTGACTTTCCGTTGCCGAGGCTATATTTTAAAATATTGACTTTTTCGTCAAAGTAACCACCTAACTAACTTGGAACGGCCAAACGGCACCTACATTCTTCCCTTTCGTGTTTGGTGCGCTCTGTGCTTTCAGACTGCGAGCTCGGTTAGTCTTCAATTCTAATTTTAAAAAGGTATGCTTTTCTAGGGTAACAAAGTAGTCGTGACGTTGACTAGTGAACAAGTGAGGATTGAAAGAGAGAGAGAGAGAGAAAGAAACAGGAAAAGAGTATTCTTCTGGTGGAAGGTGCCCTTGTCTGCATTTGCTTGAAAAAGCACAAAATTGTGGAAGGCATTCTAGTTCCAGTTTACTTTTTCTTCGCCTACGTATAAGTGTGTGAGTGAGGTAGTGTGTTGCATGTGTTTGTCTTTAGTGTTCTGCTCTGAACAATGCTCACCGATCACCTTTTGCTGACTTCTGCTCGTCTTTCTTTTCCTCCTCTTCTTGTCTCGTTGGCAGTTGACAATTTGTTTCGACACCGACTTGACAAGAAACCATCTCAGGTTTAATGGATCGCCAGACTCCGCAATCGAAACAGCAACAACAACAGCAGCAGCCGAAGCAGCAGCCGTCGTTGCAAACCGCTAGTCAACCACAACACTTGAACATCTCACTGGGCAGTGCTGGCCACGCTCCCTACGGCCACCGTCACCACCCGTATCAACAAGCAAACCAACTCGGAACTGCGTCAGCAGCACCTGCAGAACCCTTCAAAGTTGACCAGCAAACATTTGAGAAAAGCCTGAACGAGGTGTACCAGTTTAAGCAGTGCATCAGCGTGAAGATCAAACAGCTCGAGTCGTCCATCACTCGCCTCAAATCGCTCGTCTTTGTGCCGGCTGAAAATTCCGCCAGTGAAACTTCCGCTGCCTCTTCTTCCATTTCCACTGAACACTCCTCAATGGCCGGCGATCAGCGATCCTCCCCATCAGCGTCACCATCAAGCTCTTCGGCTTCATCAAAACCGTTGCCCCAGATCAATGGTGAAGTTTCGCCAGGGGCGGCAACAGCGGCCTCGCAGGCGGACCTCCTCGAGCTGCGCACCATCCTCAACGACATTGACCAGCACCTGGCGGTGCTGAAGGACGTCGAGGAGCGGCACGCCCACATCTGTGAGTCATACTCGCAGGAGATTCGCGCCCGCGATGAGACGCTCAACAACAAGTCGGGGCAGATTGCCGCCCTCAGTCAGGAGCTGGCGCAGCAGCAGGCAAAGATCAACCAGTTGACATTTCAAAACAAGAAACTCGAGTATGAAATCAACATGGTGCGCGTAAGTTGACCTACATTAGCTGTTGTTGTTTGTTGTTTTGTAACTGTTAAGTTTTGTTGCTATTACTTTTTGCTTTCTTTTTTTCTGTTGCACCTTAGAACACCGCCCTTGGCTCCAAACTGCTGACTGAGAGTGGCTCTAATGTGGCAACGGCAGCCAATTCGACCGGCAACAGTGGCACTTCCACTCCGTTGATCACTGAGCTACCGGAAAACGAGACTGCAGATGTTCACTACACTATTGAATTAGAGGCAAAAAAAGAGAAGTTTGCAGAAGCTGGTAAGCTGTCTGATGAAGAGAAGAAAAAGACAACTTTTGCTGAACCGACTACTGCTGCCGCTTCTGCTGCTGCAGCTGAAAAACCGCCGACCAATTCGATTATTGCTAATCGAAATTACGAAGAAATGTACTTTAAGCTACTGGATCAGTACCATCAAGGAGTCAACTTGCCGGCTAAGCGAAATGAATTCAAGTTGAAAGGTAAATTGATAAAGATTTGTTAACTCAAATATCGTTGTGTTTTTAAAACTGCTTAATAATTTTATATTTAAAACAGAGTCAGTTAACGTATTATCTCAGGCTGAAAAAGAGTCCGTTTCAAATGGCGCTAGAAAGGTAGTCGACGTTGAGGAGGGCCTTCACAAGGCAACATTGGTCAATGTGGGAAGTGTTCCCAAGCAGAAGGAGCGAAAGACGGCTAAGGAAATTATTAAAACGGCAACAGCAACCATTGATGAGCTGGAAGACGAGCAAGAACTGGCTGATGAGGGCAATACTAAATCACCGCTAATGCGAGACGTGGAAAAGGCTGAATCAAGTTCAAAACCGGCAAAAAAGGTGTCCATTGATAAGGCCGCCCCTAAGGTGTCTCGTTTCGCTGAGGCTACGACTAGCAACTACGCTGAAGAACCGCCTGCAAGTGAACTGAACTCAATTAAGGAAGAGGAAACGGAGGAGGAGGAAATAATAATTGACGAGGGTGAAAAGCAGGCACTGATGGCCAACCTGGAAAAGTCAAAAAAGTTTTTGCAAGAGCATAAACTAGTGGACAAAACCATCAGCTCGGAGATTTCTAGCGGACCAGGTAACCATGACTCAATGTCTAAACATTTCATTCCTAAACTTGTTTACTTTTCACATCAACTATCGTCAACTACCAACAAACATTGACACTACCAACAGGCGAAGGCAATGAACTGGTGCGCACCAGCAAATCCGTTTACGAGCACTTCTCGCAGATGCAACGAGACCTGGAGAAGTTGGTACGCAGTGAGGAGCGCTACCGCTTCCGCTGTCAGCAGCTGGAGCTGGAGCTGGCCTCGGTGAAGGAGGCCAAGGAGGACGACGAGTACAAGCTGAGCGAGGCCACCTACGAGCTGGACATCCTCAAACACAACTACGACCTAGAGATGGAGAGCTTTGGCTCGGCGGTGACTGAACGCGAGTCGCTCATTGAGAAGCTTCAGCAGAAGGTGGAGGCGCTGAAGCGGAAGTACATGACCCTGGACGAGCGCCTGCAGGAGTCCATCAACAAGGAGGTCGGCTACAAGTCGGCCATCGAGGAGGCGGAGGGCCGGGTCCGCTATGAGCAGCTCCAGCGACAGACGGTCATTGACGCACGGGTCAATGAGCTGGAGTTGCAGCTGGCCGATGCTGATTCGCAGTACGAGGCGAGGACTGCGCAGCTGCAGCAGGAGCTGGCGGAACGGACGGCCAAGGAGGAAGAGCTACTGGGGCGTATTGGGCAGCTTGAGGAGTCGCTGCAGGCGCTGGTGCTTGCCAGCTCCTCCAATGGCGCCAGTGGCTCAGGTTTGGGTGGCAACGGCAGCGGCAATGGCAGCGGAAACGGTGGCCTGGACAGTGGCCTGGTTTCGGTGGAGGACGAGTTTGCCTACTACAAGAACCGCATTGATGCGCTGCTGAAGGAGGTGGACAATGAAAAGGCGATTCGCGGGACGCTGCTGGAGAAACACGAGGATGAGCTGAAGGCAAAGGATAAACTGGCGGAGCAGCTGAAGGAGCAGCTGAGAAAGGAAAAGGAGTTGTTTATTCGTAAGTTTGAGAAAGGTGGGAATATAGAGGTACACTAGGTTGACTAAACTATAATCACAGGGGAGAAAAGCGACTTTGACACAAAGCTGCGCAAGCTAGCGGCCAAGTTCAAAGTGAAGGAGCGGGAGATCAACTCACTGCAGGAGAAGCTGACCGACCTGCATGAGAAGTTCAAGCCGCGAATTGGCGACGCGGCCACCAACGGCGAGCTGGGCTCCATTGACTCCGGTCTGGAGGCGGGACAGGAGGCTGCTTCTGGCGGCACCGCCAAGAGCCCCGAGCAGATGATGGCCGAGCTGGTCCTCCAGGAGGTGGTCATCTCTGAGCTGCGCTCCAAGCTGGAGAACGCCGAGGAGCACCTGCTGCAGATCAACGGAACACTGCAGAAGGAGCGTGATCGTCGTCGTGAGCTGGAAAGCTACTACCTGACGCAGATTAAGAACCGCGGCGGCAAGTCGAAGGGACTGATTGTGCGCGCCTTTGACGCCCTCACTGGCGGCTCAGTCGACCCGGCCACCGGAGGGGGACAGGTATGTTGATAGCCGAAAATGTGCATTTTATTGTTTTTTCAACCGCCTATTTACCTTAACTAGGATGAGTGGTCACAGATGGAGGAGAGCAGCCAGCTGTTCATGACCCAGCCCTATGGGTCCTTTGCTGGCGGTGGTCACCCGCTGTACTCTGCCTACCACGCCGGTGTGCCCCACCACCGCAACTCCACGGCCAGTCTGTCGCTGTTGATTGACGAGAGCAGCGCTGCCTACAGTCACCAGATCTACGGCGGCGGTGCCTTCTCTGACCTGCCTGAAGGTGGCCCATTGTCCGGTGCTGACGGTGGTCCTGGTGGTCCTGGTGGTAGCAGTGGCGGCCTGGGCAATGCCCTCGCCTGTTCTGACACGCTGCTGGGCACTGTCGGCCGACTGCTGCGTCGCCAGAAGAATGCCTTCATTTTTGGCAGTCGCAAAGAGAAGGTCATCAGCATCACACTGCTCATCTATCTCATTCTGGTTCATTTCTACGCCTTTGAGTACTATCTTGGCTGATTGAGGCAAAATACTGAAGAACAAGTTAAATGAAGACGAAAAAAGTGCTCGGTTCACTACTCTGCAAACGCAAGTTTAATTGGCTAAAAATACCATTTTGAAGCAAAACTAATCAACAGATCTAACCAATTAATTAGGAGTCTATGATTGGTGGAATGAATTGCATTTAGACTAACAGTGTTAGTGTCACTTTAGAGTTAGTAACACTCATAAAATAACTGTAGGAAAGCACTACCCTCTTTTAGTTGATTATTAAATAAAAAATTAAACACCTAAATTGTAAAGTGTGGTTTTTACTGTAGAACAAAAATGTATTTCAAAAAAGTGCGTGGTTGTTTAGTCGTTTATTTGTTGCTTCCGTAATATTAAGCAGTAGCAGTGGTGGGCACTGGCAGCTAGTACAACTGGTATATCCCCTTTAGTGACCTAATCCAGGGTGAGCTAAGGACATTGTACTCGGTAGTTGCTGTTGATGCTGTTGCTGGTCGTCATACGCCGACATACACTACGTTTCCCGCAACTGCGCCCACATGATGCGGCAATTAATTTGCAACCTTAAAGTTAATGACATTTACAACTTGAGACAAAAGGCAGCAAAATGAAAACACAACTTTTTTATTGTTGGCATCATTAAACAACAGTATTATTTAAGTCGACATCAAAAGAACTAGTGCAAAAGCACTGGCGTTTGAGCGTAGCACTATTTTGCATATTTTTTGCGTATTTATAAACAAAGCATTTATGAGCAAAAAACATGAAAAAGCAGACAACGCAACTGAAAGCACTGTTTGTTGCGGTTAAACAAAAAGCGATTGTCAAATCTTAAACAAAGTTTGTACAGTCTGCCAAAGCAGTGGCAAACTAGTGTGGGCGTCAGTTTACCTTCGGTGAGTGCATCACCCTCCGAGTCAGTCAGGCACTGTCACTTGCCAGCGAATAAGATGCTGCAACATCCCCTGATGCGCTACAATTGCACGTGACAACTTGGCAACTGTTGAATGACAGTACTCACACTTAACCGTGATCTTGATGCTTGCTTGGTGGTTACTCTCATTGTCAAGGAGCCGGGTATACACAAGATTTTATTTTGCACTGCTTTTAAACAGTTTAATTTGTCATCAACAATTGCTTGTTTTAAGTTGTTTTAGATAAGTAAACATTAAAAGTTATATTTTTACTTAAATTAAGTATTAAAGTTTTATATTTGAATGTTTTTAGTTCATGTCAGTCTGATTTGTCAAGCAAACGTACATTTGTTTTGTCTACTGCGTTGTGCGTTTGTTTTTTTTTGTGTTGCAGTTCATCTTTTTTGTTTTGCATTATGTTGTTAACGTTAGTTTTTGTTATTGTGTTTTTCTGTACAATGCCTTTTTCCGCTACATACGACGTTTTTTGTCATCATCTTTATGCTTAATGTTAAATGTGCTTAACGACGAACGTTGAACATGCAACACTGCAATTGGTAAAACCGGCTAATTTGGCACCGGTTATGACTTGTAAAGAGGCTGCTGCTGAACATGCAACAACAGTGGTAACTTAAAAATATGACAGTTTGAAATCAATGATAAATTTTGCATGCCAAAAATAAATTGCATTGTTTTCAGTGAAAAGTTTTTTTATTTGCAAAATTAGGTAATCTTTAAACACAACAAAATACATTTTGATTTTTACTATAAACAAATTATTTGAGTTTTAAAATAAGTTGCATTTCAATGTACCAAACTAGATTTCATTAATGTTAATGCCATTGCTGCAACTCTCCTGGTATTCTCCCTCATTTTCATCGCTGCTCTTTCACTCAATTTTTTCTGGACATCACATGTACATTTTTCATTCTACCGTAATACTTCAGCCTTGTGGTTAGTAGTCAGCAAGATTTAGCGACTCCTCTGTCAGATAATAAATCCAATGCTGAGGCTGTTTCTGATGTTGATGATGCTGTTGCCGTTGTTGGTGTTGTGGTGTTTTTGCTGACGCTTTCTTAATTCTCCTACTCTTGGTTGACTTGGCAAAAAGAAAATCTTTTCAATGGCACTGTTTCAGTAGTGTGTGTGTGTGTGCAGCTAAGGACAGCACTGTCAGTCAAGTTCGAACGTTAGCAATGAATAAAGCTAAGACTATGACAGAGATGGAANAGAGAGAGAGAGAGAGAGAGAGAGAGAGAGAGAGAGAGAGAAAGAGAGTGTCTCCTGTGCCGCCAGCGGCAACTGGCTTCTCGTGCCGGCGCACTTGTTAGCGTGCACAGTGCTTAGGCTAATGCGCTCACTTGCGCAGTGATCGCCTCGGCGTGCAGACTCAGTTTTATTTTAGCATCGCCACAGTGCACACAGCACAGCACACAGTCTGTTTTGTGCACAGACACTGCATGCTTTCTTCACTTTAAAGCGCCTCGCTAACCCAACCAGATGCTTTCATTTTGAATGATTTAGCGCGCGTCTTAGTATTAGTTTGTTGTTGTCTCTCTGCTGCATCGACAGCAGCAACAGCAGCAGTCGCATCACCTTCTTAATCACCTGACCAGTAGTTAAAGCACGTGTGATGTGTGCACTGCTTTAGCACTGTTGCAATTGTTTTTTGTGCGACACCATCGCCACTACCAGCAACAACGTCCATTTTTCACCTTAGTCCTTTTCCGTGCAAGTGTATTGAGCTTTTTTAAACACTGAAGTAAGTGTTTTTGTTTTTAGTAATTTTGTCAATTTGTTGTCATCTGCCGCACGGTTCTAACACAGTAAATTTTTATTTTTTAAATGTTTTTAACTTTCCACCATTACTTGACTATTTTTATTTGTTTCTTGACTTCAATATAACAAAATAACTTTTAGAAATTTTTAGTTTTGTTTTAAAAAAAGCTAAGTTAGTTATCATTTTTACTCTCAAAAAAGAATTTATTTAAAAACGTAAAAAGTTTCTGCTTGACTAACTGCAGTAAACTAAAAAACTTTGTACCCTTAACCGCAATATCCGCCAAACATCTGTCTACGCGGCAAAGTAAACCATGCGGAAAAGACAGTCAAACAAATTAACAAAGCAAAAAATCTATTTCAATCAAAAGGGTTACAAGTAGTAATTGTTAAAAACATTACTGAAATTCTAAAAGCTGCTGTTTTATCATTTTTCTCATTTTATAATTAAAACTGCAAAACAACTTAATAAAATCATTTGTTTTGAATGTTTAAAACTATATTTTTGTTAATAATAAAACACTTTATTTTTTAACAGAATTTTTAAATTGTATTCAATTTAAATTGAAGTTGCTTTTACATTGGTGTAAAAACTAAAAATTTCAACAACCATGACATCCATACTGCGTTCCATTGGTTTTAAAAAGTCAAAACACACCAGTAAGTAAACTGCTACCCAAACAGTAGCACGCCATTTCAGTACTGTTAAATACCGTACATTTCTCATCTGAAATCATGTTTGTTTTATTATTTCTTTTAGAGTTGTCAGAAGAATGGACCGACTGTCAGGAGCCAGTGAAGGAAGGCTTCACCTTTTACTGTCGCTACCTGGGCAGCACACCAATCGAGCAGTCTTCAAACGCCACAATGACAAGCCATGCCGTCAAACACATTCTCTCAATGGTAAGTGTGACATTGTGTCTCTGTTGAACAGTGGTGGTCACCGCCACCGCCACCACTTGTCACTCCTCACTTCACAGCACCGTCAATGTCACTCAGCAGTGTTCAGTCTGTGCTCTGCAAGACACAATTCAAATGAGCCTCGCAAACAAACACACCGATCAGGTGCCGGTGGAAGCACTGTTCACTACTGTACAGCTCAGTACAACAACACACTAACTGGCACTGACCTAAATTAATGCGACTAATCTCTTCAAGTCATGCTGATTGCCTGTCGCCTGTCGCCTGTGTTGCACTAATTATTGGCACCTGTGCGGTGTGTGTGTTTGCATTTTTCAGTATTCATGTCAATATTCATTACGGTGTTGTTAATAATTTTTCTTTTCTCCTCGTTTCATTTGTAATGTAGGCCAAAGCCAAAGGAAAGAAGTTGCCAAATATTGCACTTTTCATTTCACCGACATTCATCTCCGGTACGGTTATGGAGGACAGTAGCGCTGATGATGGCAGTGCTACTACGCCAGATTCTAAAAGTTGTGAAGTAAAAGAAATTAAAAAGCAACACGATGGGAAAGGAAAGAAAGAAAAAGACAAATCAAGTAAACTGAAAAAAGGAACAAAATCTGTAGAATTAGGAATGAAAACAACAAAGGAAAATGAAGACCAGTTGCAGCCGTCATTGCCATTAACACCAACAGTCGTTCAATCAAAAGAAGCGCCCTCTAAGCAACTTTTCAAAATTTCCATATTCCGGTATGATAAGTTTGTCGATTAGCATAACACGTCAATTTAATTACTAAAACTATAAATCTTTTTTAGCATTCCATACTGTTTTGCCGAAGCCACCTATGATCGCATAGTCGCTTTTGTGTCGACGAATCCCAACGGCTCCCACGAGTGCCACGCCATCATTGCCAACAAGCGCAAATTTGCTCAGGCTATTGCGCTCACCATATCACAGGCATTTGATATTGCCTTTAATCGGCTGAGTAAGAACAAATCCCCTGGACAGCTGCAGTCAATGGAACAGAAGTCAGCATTGGGCGGCCTGAACTCTGCTCCGAAGCAAATGATGGTGGCCACCAATCGAGTGTCTTCATTCTCAAATGACGAAGAAGACGACGACGACGACAACGACAACGGCTCAGACGACAGTGGCAACAGTTCAGAGGGCTCAGAGGAAAAGTTGCCAACGGTGGAGACATTTCCCAAATTAACGCTGGACAGTTTTTCTTCCAACTCTCGCCGTCGAACGTGGAAACCGAATAAAGAAACTGAAAGTTTCGAAGATGAAAAAAAAGAAAACAATGAAAATGATTACAAAAGTGATGTTAAACTTCTCATTAATTTTGATGATGAAACAAGCAAAAAGGATTATTCAAACAAAAAACCAATTGAAATGCCGCTATATTATAT